AGAAAAAACACGTTGGAAGCAACGCCCAGAAAAGTTTTTCCACAAGTCCGGCCAAGTTTTTCCACAACTTTTTCCGCAGCGGCGCGCAATTTTTCCACAACGTTTTCACAGCAACGGCCAGTTGTTCCACAACTTTTTCCGCAGCGACGAGCGTTTTTTCCACAGCTTTTCCCGCACCGACTGACGTTGTTCCACAACTTTTTTCCGCAGCGACCGGCGTTTTTTCCACAACTCTTTCCGCAGCGGGTGGACGTTGTTTCCACAACTTTTCCCGCAGTGACGCGAAGTTGTGCCACAACTTTTTCCGCAGCGACGGGCACTTGTTCCACGATGTTTTCGCGCTCGACGATGTCTTTTGCGCCGCTTGTGGGCACCAACAAGAAGCCAGCGGCTGTGGAAAAAACAGCCGGTGGACGTGGAAAATCCAGTCGGTGGGCGTGGAGAAATCAGCTGGCGGGCGTGGAAAAAGCAGCCGGTGGGCGTGGAAAAATCAGCCCGTGGGCCTGGAAAAACCCGGCGGCGAGTGTTGAAAAACTTGGCCCGTCGAATCCCAATCCTAGACTTGAAATGCCGCGTTGTTGTCTCTATTATGGAGTTTAAAAGACGTGTCCATGGGACCCCCCAATACATGTACATATACATTTACTATCACTACCATTTACATTTACATCTACGTTTACATTACATATACACATACATCATATTGTGCACATGTACATACATGTCCACATATACGATATAAATATACGTATACATATACATACACACATGCAAACATGAGCCATGTGGCGTGACTTCTCATGCCTTCTCGTTGACATGTTTGCTTGCTAGATGCCTTTGGGATACTTTACATCAGGTCCCTGCCAGCCCTGTCGACTTAGGCCACCGACGTGCACATGCACTTCCTGAACCCAAGCAATCCAGCGCTACATCAGTCGGTGTTCAGGTTTTTCCGCCTCTTCTTTCAGGCGCGCGCAGAGCACAGCTGTTTTGTTCCTGGGCTATCTAGACGTCTGACGTTTTCTGCGGCCAATCCTGGCAGGCTGGCCACAAAGCTATGGAGTGGCTGGGTGCAGATGCTGCAGAGGCCTTGGAGTTGCCTGCAAAATCTTTGTTTTTGCAAGTGATTGTGCTCTAAATTTGGGACGGCCGTCTGCAAGAAGTGGCCAGTTTTCTGCAATCGTTGTTAAGATTTGTTAAGTTCTGTTTGCACCACGCAGGCCCTGAGTGCTGCCCTCTGCGCGCTGCTCCCCAAATACAGCCAAGCCATGCAGGAGCAAAGGGGACACTTTTACATTGCTGCTACTTGGGGGAAGTGGGGGTGTAAATCTCTTTCTGGTGCAGACAGACGGATAAGCAAGTGATAGTTACAGGGATCCAGCCTTCACTCCCCTTCAAGGACTCGTTGGCGTTTGCGGACAGTCGCTAAGGTCATCATGCGAAGCCTGTCATTCCCATGTGTGAGGACGTGGTCCAGGATACCAAATATGACATTTCCGCGGAACCTTCCACACCAGGAGCTTACTTGATGGGCATGGTCCCTTTGTATGTCTTGCAAATGCCCAAGTGTGCTCTAGGATTTTCATTTGGGAGGGTGTTAGTCTGGGCAGCAGGGCAGTTTGCACTGCCAGTTGAGGAGTGCTTCGCCATTGCTGGTCTGGTCTTCTACCAAGATGTCGAGATTTGTTTTTCCCTCCTCAGTCTCAGCACCCTTGTCGATGTAGCTCCATGCCCAGGCCGATGGAATTTGAAGGCTATCCGGAAAAGGTTCGGTGAGAACCAGCCGCTCATTAGCAGGCTAATGCAGTGAGACTGAGTCCAACCATCTTGCTTCAAGTCGCCAGAATTTGAGATGCACCCAGGTATCACTTGTTTCGTGACCGCCCGATGTATGACTGGCGCTTCTGGGAAGCATGGCAGTCTTTTCAAAGCTCTTTACATATCCCATCCAAAGCACATGAGTAGTATTTCAGATAGGGGCGATACTCTACTCTGCAATGATCCGCAATACAGACTTCGATTGTACTGTCTCCTTCCCCCAGAAAAGGGAGTTGGTGGGCACGAGGGGTTCCGCGTGTTTCGCGTGGAGCACCCTCAGAAAATCGTGTTCCTGTCCGGATGCGCGCGGGCCGCGGGAGGAGCTTCTGCGTGGAGTGTCCACAAGATTCGGGGTTGTGATGAGTCGTGATCGCGCTCCGTCACGGTCCCAGAATGCCGTGCAAGAAGTTGCTCCAGTCCGTCATCTTGACTTCATTAAATGGCCCCAGACAGCCTTAGCACTCGCATGTGGCACAGGTTCATGGTGGCACACATCCACAACACTAGAGAGCCCCCCCAATCGCCAGCAAAAAGGCTTGGAGACTGAAGATTCCGAGTCGTTGGCACTGCGGTTGCAAGAAGGAGAGGGACATCATGTGGAGGCCGGGACACTCCAAGAAGATTGAACACAGGTGCATTTGGACAGACATAGCTAGAGACTCATGACCACTTGCAAGTTAAACGCCAACAATGATACGACCATGATTACGCAGCATGTAAACCAGACATTGATCCCCGACAAGGTAGAGAATCCAAGGTAGAGAATCCCTCTATTTACATGCGCCTCTCAATAACCCCCTGACCCTGTGTATCATTGCTGATGAAGCTCCAAGCAGCTAGTCTGCAGATCACATTCTTCGTGGCCCCATCTGGCAAGTTGGTGCCATGGCCGCAAGTACAGCAGGCAGCATGCATAGCCAATGAATAGCATTTATACGAAGTTCACCTATAATACAGGCGCATTTTACATCGGGCCTTCGTACTGTTGATGAAGTCCCGATCTGTCGCAGATGGTTCGGGAAGTAAGAACTTCGAGCTTCCAATGGCAGCCAACTTGCGACGGCAGAAGGAGATGGGTCGTATCGACGCATTTTATTGCTGTAGAATTCCTCTACAGGGTATACCTACAATTCATGGACGGTTCAGGCTTAGGGGCAGGTAACAGAGCTTTGCCCGTCACAGGTCGAAAGTAGGGAAAATCTTCCGGTAATATCGGATATTACCTTTTAGAGAAAATACATGTTCGACTGCACTCGTGCTGGTGCATAAGTCAAAAAATCTTTCATAATCTTTATTTTGGATTGCGCGAGTGCTTTGTGATATGCTACCTAGTCAAGGTCTGGACGGATCCAAGTGGCAGGCCGCGATTGAAGGATGGACTCGCCGACGAGGCTCATATTGCTTGGTCCACACGCGTTGGCTGTTTTTTTTCCAATCGTACTAGTGTTATCAGATCGTTTCTGGACATTGGGTCATTTACTGGCTGAGGGTTTGCTCTGGAAGATTGTGTCTGGAAACTGGGCCACCTACCTGCAACTTGCCTCAGTGACTTCATGCTTGCACAGAGGTTCCAAGCTTTTGGGACGGTTCCTTCAAGGTGAGAGCCGCTGGGCAGCAAGGATGCTTTTTTTGGCTGAGCCACATGTAAAGCTATCAAAGAGGTATCCCGCTACATCGTTCTTAGTATCATAACCATTGCTCTTACGTACCGCTACTAATAGTAACTGTTTTTGATGTTGATGGTTATAGTCATCCTGACTACAATGGCAAGTCTGACATGACGTGCAGAGGAGAGAGCAGGAAACACTCTGAGAATGCTAGTTGCTATTAGCAAGACCCTGAGATGAACCAAATGCAGCCCCTCTTCAATTGCTCACTGCATGCGTTGGCCAAGCTGAAGCCTTAAACACTACATCTTAGAAGTCATAAAGCCCTAAACCAAGCGTGTCCAACGAGGTGATTGATATCCATTTGCCTTTGCGATGCTGCGGCCCGGAGCTGAGCTTGCAACCTGCCCTTGCCTTCAACATGAGCTCGGACAAAAACCTGCATCGCTACCGTGTATATGGAGCTAACATAATTCATCAGCTTGCGCAGATCATGGGAAAACCAGAAGAGGAATGAAACGATGACCTAGTTTGTTTCATGTTGTCTGATGGGAAAACGACATGAGTAACACTTTGATCACGTGTTAAACTGGATAGAATGCTGGCCTCCAGGTTTTGGGCGCCGCTCATATGTGAGTTTGCAGAAGTTGGTGGCCCGAGAAAGATCCTCAATATACGATACTCCTTACTACGGGGACCTCCGAAACAAGCACCGCTACCAGTAGTGCTTTGAACCCCCATGTGTTTCCGAAGTCCTGAGAAAATTCGGCCGAGATTTGTACAAGGGCTCGAGAGTCTCTGGATACTGATTACATTTCTAAACATGATGCATGGCAGCACATGGTGAAAGCAGCTCTCTGTGTGAAAGGTTGTTTGGGCACAGCATCGTTTCCGCCATTGTCCTTCAGCGTGGATGCCAGCCGCCTCTCGTCAGAATCCCGACCTATCACCCTTCGGTCGATTGCACACCTTTGGCTTACAAAAGGCGAGCCGCATCCCAGCTTTCGGGTATCCTGCACGGAGATGGGCCACTTCCCGATGGCGCCTTGGACTACCCATGTAAGGTTTAGGGATGAAGATTGACAGGGCTCACATGATTGTGTTATGGGTTTCAGCGAGTCGGTGTAGGGTTCCTTTGCAACGTGGGTGAGTGTCTATATTGAACGTCCCTTTGGGGTGACCATGAATGCAATCCTGCCGTGCATCAGGATGATTGGTGCATATCATGGATTTCTTCTCAGAATGATTTAGGGGTCAGGCTGGGAATCGGCGTGATGCGCCTGTTGGAGGCAATCCTGCACGATCAACAAACAAAAATGCCAGGAATTATGGTGCTACAGTATACTGAGGTTTTTGTTGCTCAAGCCGTACTTATGTTAGTTGGGGCGACCAGATCCCAAAAGGGAGCAAGAGTGTGCTTTCTTACGAGCTGCAAAGGTGCAAAGGCCGCACCTGCATGCAGACTTGCGATTGTAGCAGAAACTGTTCATCATGTCTGCCGCGGGTTGTAGTAGACATGGCCATGTGCTTGAGCTTCAGGAATGGTTTTATAGCCCACTTTTCGATGTGACGCACATGCGGACGCTATTGGTACATCACCTCGAAGTTGAGTGCAGCTTTTTAGGCCTGGAGCCAAAGAGGGTTTTGAGAGAAGTGATTACGGGGTTTGTCGTAGTTTGTTGGGATATATAGGGTGTTGGTTTCCAAAAATTAGGGCTCCATATTTGTGGGGCCTTATTCTCGGGATTGTAATGTGCTGGATTGATTGACATCACTGCGTGGATTGTCCCAGAAGAGACTCTGCAACCCCAAAAGGGAATGCCATAAAACCCGCAGCCTTACCGGCTTGAGAAGTGCAGCCCTTGACACTTGGTGAGTATCATGCTTGAAGTGAGCTCTTGACTTCGAGCCTGCCAGTATCTGACTACAGCAATCGATCATTTGTTGAATGAAACTTCATGTAGCAAGCGGCACAACTGTGCAGTCCAGAAAAAGTCCAGGTCTCGAGCAAATATGTTGTTGTTTCCCCCTCTGCGTCTTGATGTGCAGGCGACGAAGTTCATTTGAATGTGTCAGGGGCTTGGATTGGCATGTTCTGCCAGGGACAACCCGTTGAAGTGCGAGCCGAATGCGTCTCAGGCATTTCCAGATGCCCAAGTTTAGTTCTGTTCTGCGTCGCGTGATGAAGGCCTTCTCCAACAAGTGCCCCAGCTGATTCAGAAAGCGGATGCGAGCCAAGCCAAGCCAGCTTTTTCTGTGGTACTTCAGTATTACATTATACATAATTCAGCCATTTCAAAGCTCAGAAACAAGCGAAGTCGAAGAGGGTTGGCTGTTAGACCCCAAGCCTTCATTTCAGCATGGGCAGCACAGGGTCCTGGACGTCATCTTTGGCGCGGCGCACGAGGCCTGTGGATTGTTACGCAAGCAGCTGCTTGAGCCTAAGTCTGGAGTATTCCGGAAGCTTAGCTTGTATAGATGTGGATGATTGAGGATCCTTGATACGCGAGTTGTGCTGCCAGGATCCGCCGCCCGTGATCTTGGCTGCTCTCGGCGATGATCTAAAGTCGCTTGAATCGGAGCTCTCGTGATAAAGAGAAGTGCGGCCTTTGCCTTTCGCCTTCTGGTAAATGTACGAGCCAATGCATGAACGAAAAGAGGTCATTCCTCCTGCATTGCCAGGGCTTGACTGTGGGCGAGCAGATTCGCTTCTCCGCAGACCTGCGCAACCCAAAGGCACAGCGCACAAGACTCTACGGAAAGTGCCACGCCTTGTTTGCATGTCTGATCTTCGGGGGCGTCAATGCATTGGTTTTGGTGATAGCCACTCGGGATCGCTCAGACAGGGATAGATGCCACATTATGGAGATGATGGTCTTCGGCTTCCCGGCTTCAGGAAATAACGACCCATCGTCGAAAGCTCATCTATGAGGACGTCTTACGGAATGCAGAACCCCTTTGATGTCTTGTGCCCAAACATTCCTTTTACCACGGTCAGGTTGATGCTAAGCAGATGCACAGCGTAGCATTTCCCCAGGACGTTCTGAATGTTATGCAGCTAAGTGGCGGCCCCGGCATGCCGCTTCCAGAACAGGAGGGCTCTGTGGCACAGTCGATGCAGCAGTCATCGCTGCACTCTGTTGGACACACTCTGATGCAGAAGTGCCTGTCCGCGAAGTGAAAGCTTCCACCTAGGCAATATCCAGAACTCCATTGTCGGCGGGCTGGAGCAGCGTGGCATTTCAGGAGGCAACGCCAAACTTCAGAGCCGCCTTAAGCCAAAACCGGCTTTGTAGTTAAGATATGCAATACCTGTGCATGATGCAACGCCTTGTTGCAGGGACCCATAAGTTTCCAGGTAGAAGTCAGATGTGTGAAAGGCCAGCGCAAGCGCGTGTCCATTGGCCTCGAGCTCGCTGCGGACTGGCCTCCGCTTAGGTTTAGCGACGCCCTTATGGTTTGCTGGCGTTGTAGGGATTCTATGAGACTAGATGGGGATTCGATGGGATTCTGTAGGAATTTCATAGGGCCTATTTGAGGTTATCCTGCAGGGAATATGCAGGGCTTACGGATACTACCCTAACAACGGAGAATCACATGACGAACGATATTGATAATATGGAAAGCAAGGAAGCAGAAACTCGGATTATATGTAGTGCCTGGTAGGATGATTTCTGGCTAGGTTGGGAAAACCCAAGTTCTAACCAGGCATGTCGTCGTTGATGATTGCAATCTTAGCTATGAACTCTTGGATCATAACATGCCTACCTAGCTAGGGACCTAGCTTATGCAGAAAGCATCCGGCAGGTTCTCAAGGTTAGGGTCGTTGGGTTTACCCAGACCTCCTCAACAACAATAACATACTGTGTTCAACTCCGAATGTTAGCTATCTCTATGGATGTTTGGGAGATCTAGCAAGGGGTTGGGAGGCGAGTCTCTTCCGGATTTGGGGGCTCATGCAGAAAGAGTGCCAGTATTTGGGGCCGGGAAAGCCCGTAAAGTCTAGGCGCATCGCCGATACTGTCTCCCCTGAGTCCACTCATAGAGGAGCTGTACGGAGAGGGAAGCGATACAGCTCAGATCCTACTGGCTTCCAGGGGTTGCCTTCCAGGGGTTGCCTTCGGCCTTAGGGGGGTCCCTAAAATTTGTAAGTTTTCTTTACCAATGGCTGCGGTATACAAGCGGCAGCGCTTTATCAGCACCAGGTAGGGAGAAATCCAAGCTATGATATAAGCCTAAATGGAGAATCAAGCTGAAAATGAAGTGGACACTGGGATAGCATAGTGGCTTGTATTGTTTAGGGGCAGGTGAGACCGCCTAAGTAAACCAGGTAATACGTAGGAGCATGTAGGAGCATCAACGCCGCAGGATCCAACGATGCTCTTCCTTGACGAGCCGACCTCAGGCCCCCTGGGCTGTTCTTGGCAATGGTTTGTTCTTTTAAACATTAAGGAGAATCCCGATACAGCATATGGATCCTGATTTCTCATTATATCACAATAAGACACCAGCGGGGCCGGCTGTTGTGGAAATTATGCTGGACTGCGGCACTGGCCATAAGGTGGCCAATATTATCCCGTACGGGAGCTTGTAAAGAATGCCCCTGATTGTTGGAAATCCCGACATCTTCCCTTACAGGGCTAGTACCCGTCTCAAAGCTGGTAGGGTTCCAGGCATGGTGGAATAGATCAGCAGGATCAAGTCAAGAAGGAGGAACAGCAATTTGTCCGTGATGGCCAGGTTTGGATGCCGCGAGCTCCCTGTCAATTGTGAACTCGCTGAAGCCCTGATGCATTTAGTCTGCCCAGTGCCCGGAGTAACCGTGGGATAGTATTTTTCCTACTGATATATATATANNATACATGTATACGTATATGTAAAGCCCGAAGTATATACCCCTGCTATAGACTGGTACTCTGTGGTGGCACTAGCTAACATGTAATTCCTTCTAGTTGAGGGTCTGGTCTAGCGTAACACCATTCTTTGAGCGCAGCGCCAAGTATGTTCTTCAGGGTGTCTAGCAAGGTCTTAAACCTCGCAAGCATCAAGATACCGCATGCTTTTCTGTGAAAAATCCCAGGCGCTTCATCCCAAACCCTGGCCAAACTCTTTCCCATTAGCTGAGCGGTGCTAAAGGGGCAGTCAGGGAGTGAGCGAAAGGGATGTGCATATGGATAATTCTAGGGATTCCCTACCCAACTCCGGCTTGAGCACAATTAGAATGGACGATCATTTATTTTGGTAGTTTTTTTTGTTTTTTTTTGGATGTATTATTGCTGTTTTTTGTTTTTGGCTTTCTGGCTTCTTGGCTT